CCCCCCCCCCCCCCCGGGATCCATGGTCGCGTTACTTATGAAAAGCTGGTGTAAGCTGTATGGTATTTATGAACATTATATCCCAAAAAATACCTTTGCATCCTCGTATCTTTGCAGCGCCTGTTTCTTTAATTCCTCTAAGTTCAGTCCTTCTATCGTTTTTCCTTTTGTTGGGTCAAACGCTCCGGTCCTCAAGGCATAGTCGGTATTCAGAGCCAAGTGATTTACCTGCAAATCAGAGAAATGATTACATATGGTTTTAGTGACAGAATATGGAGCGGGGAAGAAAAAGAGTTTACTACACTTACCCAGTGCGCATGTCCCTGCAGTGTTCTACATAGCACACCCTGAATGAAAGACAATGAGCAAGTTAATAGAACAAACTATGTTTCAAATGCTTTTTCTAGACAAAGAAGGCGCAACTGCCAACCAAAAATACTAGGCGCAAGTGTGGAAATATATATTTCTAATCCTTTTTAGATTCGTTTTTACAACTAACCCACTTCCCGCCATGTATTTGTCTTTTGGTCATGTATTTTTATCCTGGCAATGGTTGAAAACTACCAATCGGTTACTTTTGAAACTTATGACATCTCATCCCAAGAAACCTAGGGGTAGAATTCTTTCGCTCGCTTCTCACACATAAGTTTACCCCTGTGTTCCCAAAGATAATGCCCCTTTAGACGAACTCGCTTTAAAATGCCAGCATGTTAACAAGACTTACATCTTTAGCTCTCCAGACTTTTATGGTCCTATCCTGTGAAGATGTGTAAAGAAGCCCTTCACCTCCCCACTTGACGCACGTCACAGACTGGGTGTGACTGGAAAAGGTTTTTTCTATGTTGTATGTGACAGTATCCCATATCTTGACTGTAGAATCCTATAAATGTATAGGCATAAAGAGATCATCACATGTTAAGAGCTTGATATCGTTTTTACTGATTCACGAGTTTCCATATGATATCGCGAACGAGCGAGTTCACCATGAAGTGATATCGTATCACTTCACTGATATTCTTTTTATTCGTGGCTTTATCACACATATCGAACCTAAATGTGTACTAAATACGTTTCCATGGCAATAAAGCTATTCTATATTCCTTATCATAAACAGGGTTTCACAGAAGTCCATCATTATCATTTTTTCACAACGGTTTAACAGGACCATCAGGAAAAAACTATATCTCAGAGTAATCCTTAGGTTACTCCAAAGCAGACTGAGATTTTTTTTTGAATGATCCTTTTTTGGTACCTTTGAAGAACTTGCGAGATATCTGCATTCTGAATTCCTACAAAAGAAATAGAAATGTGTCTTTCTTGTACGTTAATGGCAGGGCTAACTCACAGATCCAATCTGGATTTACACGTACCATAGTACATTAGTTCAGTTTTGCGGAGGGGAAAACTGTAGAAAACAGAGAAATACCCTTCAAATGTGACGCGAAGTCCAAGAATAAAACCTGAGGCCCCAGACGTGAGAGGGGTATTGCACTAACACTACACCACCCTTGACCTCCAAGGATATGATTAATTATCATTAATTATGTAATAGTAATTCGGATAAAATTTATAGGAGTTATGATAAAATTTCTTCATGAAACAAGCTCTGAAAGCTTACTACAAGGTGTACCTATGAAGAGGCTCCCAGCTCAGCCATGTTATCCACTTCAAATGTCCCTTTAGAGTCTTTCCAAGTTGATTGCCTGTCTCTGGATCCCATATTCTTATCTTAAGAAACAAAATAGAACRATCAGTAAATTTAGAGTTTCATTATAACATGGAACTCAAACTAGACATCTAAAAAAAGTTAAGGACTGGCTTTAGCTCACATGGTTACTATGCAGTCTTTTCAAGGAATGTCATTAGAAACGCTCTATTTTGTTCCTTCAGCAATACCGAAAAATCCAAACAGCAAAGGGCATAAATGTTTCCTAGATTGAGAGTACCTAGACTTACAACAAGTCACACTTACTTACTCACTGAAAGATGCCTGTAGCTCAGTGGTAGTAAGTGCAGGCAGAGCATGAGACCAGACTCTAATAGAAGCAAAAATACAAGCTTCCCTTGCAAAAAACTATAAGATAATTACATGTCTATACCAGCACTTATTGAATTTTGCATATCAAAAATGCAAAGGATGTCTAGGTGCTCTTACATTAGTTCATATTTTGAAAATTATGTCAAATTTAAGCTATTCACACATTACAGTACAAGGCACATACTTCTCCATCTTTGCAAGCAGATGCCAATTTTTTGCCATCTGGTGACCATGCAATGTGTAATATCCAATGTCTATGACCTTGTAGAATAAACAAGAAATCAATATTATTATCATTGATGAATGAACTACATGTGCATCAGAGGCCAGACTATAATAAAGAGAGTTGAAAAGTGTTATTAAATCACTAATTAAGTGTATTCCCAAATCAAACCTCAAGGTTCAACAAAAAAAATCTGTAATGGTGGGCTGTGGATAGAATATCGGTATATTGTTTTAATATGTTGGTATGTTGTTGGGAAGGTGTTTTCAACTATTATCAGCTTGGATATAGGGCTCTCAACAAGTTGTGCTGTATTTGCAGGTCCAATCACACAGAAAGGTTGCTAAAATCTTGCCACAACTTATTCCCAGGATTTTTTCTCTACCTTCAACGATTAGATATGAACAGAAAATCCTGCTATGAAGAAAAATGTCCGTAGAAGTAATTAATTAGGTCCTGGAAGTCGTTTTTCATTCAAATTACATCACACTTAACAGCTCTATAGGGATACTGTAGATGTGATAGGAAAGATGATGTTGAACATCACAGGAAGATCTGAGACAGTTTTATAATATACATCTATGTACTATAATATTATTTCCCAACCTTGACAAGTAAAATGAGGTGTTTCTGTTGATATATCCCAGAATCTGACAGTAGTGTCACCAGATCCACTTGCAAGGTGTCTGCAACAGTTGACAAAAAAAGCTAACATTAATATATAAAAGGGAATTAACAGTGGTATCAAAGAGCAGTTGTTGTTGTTTTACTGGATTGCAATTTGAATTTCAAAGTTGATTTTTGCAGAGGAAGGAAAAACTAAAGAAGCCAGAAAAAAAGCACTGAAGAACAAAAGAGAATCAACAATCAATGCAAATTGAACCCACAGATCTTTTCACGGTGTATAATTTATCTTTTCATCATTACTGTTCATGAAACACCGACGCAGCTCACACTAGTTTTTAGCTAGTTATATCTTCTTAGATCGCCTTAGAGAGAGGTGAGCACTTATGGCTGTATTCCAACCATGCTTTCTTAATGCATATGCATAGAACTACTGTGACTTATCCCTATTACATGATACAATTTCTCCTGCAGCTTGTCTAGTGAGCAAAAACGCATGGTGCATGTGACTTTGTTGCATGCACAATTAAGTACTGTCAGTTGCAACTTGTATTYGGGTAAAAACGTTCGGTGCCTATGAAGTTGCAGGCTCCCATTCCCATGGTACATTTATTAATGTAATTATTGTTAATTAATACATATATTAATGTGCTGGAATAAATATCTTTTACTTATAATATACATAATCTTATTCTACCTTCCATCTGGGCTAAATGAAACTGAAATAACTGCCTCTGTGTGACCTGTTTTAATAAAATGTTATGAAATTAGTAGAATAAAGCAAACTTGTAATATCAAAAAAATCCATTCATGTATGGATTAAATCCTAGCATGGATGAAGATCAATTAAGACTGGACTCACACCTACAGTCACAGACTGGCCCCGGGGGAGGGGGATACTCCCCTATATTCGCTATATGGGTACGTGCTGCCAAACAGGGTATGGTTTTCAGCGATTCTACTCTGGAACAGGGTATATAAAATCRCGCTCGCTCTGGAACAGGGTATATGAAATCACACTTTCTCCTCTCTGGAACAGGGTATCTATTTTCGCAATACCGGAACAGGGTATGGTTTTCAGTGATCTTGCTCTGGAACAGGGTATGAATTTCAGCGATTTTACTCTGGAACAGGGTCAGGGTTCAGAGGGCTCAGAGGCACATCACTATCCTAAACAGGCAAGAGTACCCCCCAGGAGACTGGCCAGTCATGAGTTAGAGCTAGTTAGAGGGAGAAAGAACCCAACTTGAATCCCCTGAATTATAGGGATTATGATGGGAGTGTAAATATTTCTATACCTGGAATAGTACTTGTACATCGAGTTACAGCCCTGACTCGGAACACTGCTTGTGGCTGGTAGACTATCTCAACAACTTTCTCTGTCTCAATGGAGTGTTTTTCAATTGTTTCTTCGAGCTTTCCTGTCACTTCAGCATCATTTATAAAGAATGTGTATGGTACACTCTCTTCCTGTTTGAATAAGTAATAAATGTAGGATAGTGAATCTAAAACAAGAAGAACCAGGCAGAGAATGACAGCAAGGGAAATGCTTATGATGTGTCTTGTTGTAATGGTCAACATGGCTCATTTCGCTACACCGATATGATTCAAGGGATTTTTTCTGGTTATCTCTGGTTTTGCTTGCTCCACACATAAAGCCAACGTTTCTATGCTACAATTATTCAGCAAAAAAACAACAGCTGGATATATGGCTGAAGGTTGAGCCCTGTACGTACACATTAGCCTCAGTCTCATAAAGTCCAGTTAAGTTCAGTTTCCATACCTTTTGGAGCACAGCATTGCAGACCAGCTCAAGTTGATCTGGTGTCACATTCAGTGGAAGATCAAAAGGTGTTCCAACAAGCTCTCCCGCCTCATTCTTGAACTGAGCGAGAATCCTTCCACTGTCATCACTATTAAGAATATATAGAAAGAGGTGTTTATATCAAAGACTAAGGCACATCAAGGCACACCTATAAAGGTAGTGTTGCATGGTGTGTGTCAAGGTTCGTGGGGGAAGAGGGGAAAAGGGGGGAGGGGAAGGGAAGGAGATGCCAATTTTCAAGGAGTTAACAGTGCAAGCCACCGGGTGTATTATGGATTTGTAGTGATTGTAATAACTCATTAGGAAAAGGGTCCCAATATTGGTTGTATACTACAAATAAAAGAAGATTGAGTTGTCTCCTAACGTCAAGTTTTCATCCCTAAATGAATCCACAGGAAACCCACATAGAAGAAGTAAGATCCCTTGTAAACAGTCATTTATAACACAACAAAAACCAACTCTTACCTCATAATTTCCACAGCTGATTCCAACCGTTATCCTTTAGTTCCCACAATCAGGCTCCAATAAATATATCTTACCAAAAATCACTCAAAATTGGTAAAAGAAAGCGTTAATTTCAAAAGAATTGTAATAACACATGTTTTTTTGTGCCCACGTGCAAATGAAATGATTCCTATTGAACAGCGGATCATTCTATCCTATTGGAGTATGCGCAATGGCAATCAATCCAACATGGCGGCTTCTTCGACTTCCAAACTCACAAAATGTCGACATTTTAAACCACCTTTTACGCTACATAAACTCTTTTCTGCACAAAGCAACTCTAATTTAGTAAAGCGGGTCTTCCACACTTTACCTAGGTGTAATTTATCCCAGGCAAATGAAAAGGTGCAGCTAGAAAATGACAGAGATTCAAGTCCACCATTGAGAGCAGAATTCGTGAACCGCAACCCTAGGAACGTTGAGTATGAGGGGCGAAACAAACCTCGAGGATATGGAACACAGTTTTCAAGGAGGGATTATTACAACAAGTAAGAAGTAGTACAAATGAGAACATGGAACTGGTTTATTTTTGTTACAGCATCTGGAAATACATCAACTCTTCAAATCACTGTCCTCCCTTCCCCTCCCCCCTCCTTCCCCCTTCCTGGGCATGACCGTATCAAAACCCAGGATTTTACGAATTTCACTGAAAACGCAGTGATAATGGATGATGAGGAATGCACACTTTTCTGGCCAAGGGTGTTACTTTCATATAAATAACAAGATATATATGATTTATTTGTCAGGACTGAAAATAAATGCCAGTCAAGGGAAAATGTCTGGAAATATTTGTAACTTGTTCAATCAAATCTCTGCCAAACTGGCCACTTTAATACCAATAACGTTAAACAAGCAATGACGTAGCTAAACTAATTTGGACAGTCATCATGACCGGCAATTTGGCAAGCATTATTTCTAGCCCTATTTATGATCTCCATAGTGCATATAGGCAGGAAATCCATCCCTATAAGGCTCTTATAAATAGTATAACTCTTTTCAAAAAAGTATAGCAACTTTGGAGAATACTGAATAACTGAATGCAAAACTTTTCCTAGATTAAATTTCATTGTCTCTAATCGTCACATCAAAGCATATGTCCAGCACAATAGTGGAACAGTATTGGTGTYGGCATCCACAACAGAATTCCCCATCACAAGACAGCTTTACAAGACAACAGATCTAGCGGCAGCCATGAATATAGGCAGAGTACTTGCTCAAAGATGCTTAGAGGCAGGCTTTACTAGAGTTTTCTGGGAACCACGATGGAGTGATAAACACAAACTTAGGGTTAGTTGGTAACTGTAGTAAAATTACCTTCTTTGGCTAATTCCAAAAATATTTATTCCTTCTCTATAGAACACTTCTGAGATAGGAAACATGGTGCATTGTGGTCTAGCTTAGGTACAAATATGATTGACCCAGAATGAATCATGTTAACTCAAACTCAGAAAGGGACGTTGGAGGGGATTTTTCTGTTATGAATTGGCTTAAGCTCTGACTTGACTTTAATGCAATTAATATGTTACAATGGCCCTTCAAAACTGCAGCAATGAAAACTGCATTTCTGAATCCTCAATTTAATTTTTTTTAGGGTGTTAGGGTCATCCCCCCAGATTAACCAACCACCCCCCCCCCCCCCCCCCCCCCCCCCCCCCCCCCCCCCCCCCCACCCCCCCCCCCCCCCCCCCCCCCCATCCAACACACACACACACACACACACACTCCATGGTCCATGGTCCACTGCGGAATGATTACCCCACACACAAAAGATTAATGTAGTATGTAAATTTTCCTACATGAATTCTGTTGAAATTTACTCAACCAGGTTAAATCATTTGCTAAAGCAATCCAAAAGGGAGGTTTGACACTGAATGAACCTAAAGCAGTCATTCCATTACAAGACTTTTATTCAGGTAAGGTGTCGTGGACAACTTAATTGAGCCTTCAAACCTTCAAACTTCAAGTGTTATTGAACCCAGATACAACCTCTGGGCTGATCATGGATTAAATTGAAATTTAGTGTGCTTGGGTTTGGGAAGGGAGGAATAACAGAGAAGTTTAAGAAAAAAAACTAAACTTAATAAGGAGGCCCAAAATCTCTGCTTACGTGTGATGCTAAGTCCAAGATTAAGACCAGAGACCCCAGAGGTGAGAGGCAAGTCATGGGCATTGCCAGGATTTTTGGAAGTGGGGGACCAAATTGCGAGTGAACTGTCTTTGACAGTTGTTTCCATAATTGAAGTTGCATTTTTTTCTTATTTCCTATACTTATTTTTTTRTTTTTTATTTTTTATTCAGATTTCAGGCCCAATAAGACAAAAAAGAAATGGAAAAGAATGCCAGATTCTGAGAAGAGAAAATACATTTAAGACCCTTCCTTCCTGTATTTGTAATTATTTTTAATGGGTGTTTATAAAATTATATTTCTTTCTGGTTTTAGACCATCCTGATGTTTGATTATTGGAGAATTCTTTCTTCTCCTCCTCCTCCTCCTCCTCCTCCACCTCTAATAATGAAGATTTTAAACCATCTCATAAAAAAGTGAACAGTAAATAGAAAGAAAATTGGGCTGGAAATGAATGGGCTTAATCATCTACATTATTTTCAATATTGGTTTTATGCCATTTACCAAATCAATACTCATAAATCTTAAACTCAATATATGTAAAGTGTAACAAAAAATTAAAAGAGTTGGTTGCACATTTGCAAAAAAAATTCTTGGGGACTTTTTTTTAAAAAAGTTTTAAAAGTATCCTGACCTTTTAATTGAAAATAATACAGAAAGTAACTCTTTGTATCTCTTGCTTCAGAATTATCCGTGGTATAATAAAAATAACACAATGCATTGTCCGCTGAAATATATATAGAAATATAGTATGTACGACGGGTTCTAATTTGACGGGATTCCTGGGTTATCTAATACCRCAAAGAGACTAGGCCTAGTATACTACGCATGCGTAGTTGTGGTGGTCTAAATCGACGTGGCGCTTTGGACAAAAGATACAAAGTTTTACGCCGGATTTTAACCCGATATTTTCCTTTTAATCGTCCAAAATGACAACGATAAACATACTCTACTGTTGCGTATCATTTCTCTTCCTATTAAGATCTTCGTATTGTTATTTTATTACGATCGATGCACATGGAGAGGAATGCTTTCACGATAGAGTTACCTCGGGTACAAAGATGGGTCTTATTTTTGAGGTAGCAGAAGGTGGTTTTCTAGACATCGATGTGAAGGTAAATTTTCACTACTTCTTCGTTATGTTACCTATTTTTATTCCTTACTAGCTCTGTCCAACGTTTTGTGAATTAAGTTTGTCTTAACCTTGTAATAGTCAAGTTTATGGAGAAAAAAATATTAGTTAAACACCCCGGGTTAAACAACATAAAGATGTAGTAGTCTTCTTGTTTAATACCAACTCTATTTTTATTATTTTCAACTAATCTTTTTAATATTCTCCTTTACTAGTTTTGTTTGTATTTATTTATAAAGAGAGCATTTATTTTTGTCCTGTGGATTATTAGAACCTGCAGATGCAAATTTATTCATCCATTTGATAAATCATATCTGTTCAGCCCAGTGCATCTTGTAATGATGTGTGCTTAGAAAATATTCTGACATAAAATATTTTCATGTTTGTGCCGACATCCACAGCTTCTTTATGTCTGAGTTTTTGAGTTCCATCAATCAAAAATTTACTACAAGTAACTAAGAATAAAGTATTTGATGGAAAGTAGCAGAAACACCAAAACATTTGCTACATCGGGAGTACATTTGTTGGAGAAACATTACTGCCATTTTCAATATCATGCAAACTCGTTAGTTACTAGCTGCACGCCGAAATTTGGTTTTTCACTGCTGTCAATCAAAAATAAGTACTTGGTATCTTTAATATTTTTGACTGGCAGCAGTGAAATATCAAATTCCAATGGGCAACTTGCAAATACTGAGTTCACGTAATGTCGAAAATAGTAGTGAAAAACAGGATTCAAACACATTCAAAAAACTACTTAAAACTCTTCTGTTTGATTATCTATTTTTGACATTGCGTAGCTTTATTTTTTATTCTACTGTAATGAGCTTTGAACATGGTATGGTAACCATGAAATGGCTTCCATTATAAACCAATCACAAAGTATCAAATATAGGGTCTCTTTTCCAGATACAAACCTCTCGTCCAGGTTACTTGATATAGTACTGTAATAAATTTAGGTTTGATTTTGTTTACAGATAATAGGACCTGATCAAAAAGTTATCTACTCAGGAGAAAGAGAAACTAATGGAAAATATACATTTGCTGCACATATGGATGGAGTATACAATTATTGCTTCAGTAACAAAATGTCTACCATGACTCCTAAGATAGTTAAGTTTTCAATGGACATTGGTGAAGCACCAAAAGACACCAGCAAAGATGACAGTAAGTCATGACTATACTTTAATGTGCTATAAAGTTTTTGCACCATTACGTGACGGCAGCCATGTTAGATGGCAGGAACTATGCAATCGCTTTACATGAGGGGGAATTTAATTCCCAAGAGCAAAGGAATTTTATTATTCTACCATCTAACCGCAGGCAGCCCAAGCTATATCATGGGTGCTGGCACATGATAATACAAAACTTCTATAGGCAAATGTAATGTTTATAATATGGACATTGTCATTGTGATGTTAATGTGCCAACGATTTAAACAATACAGCTGTATTGTCACTTTTTGTTATTGGATCATTCAAAAGATTTCTGAAGAGCCACTCTGTGGAATCCACTGTTAATCCCATTGTTATTTTTATTTTTATCATCATCATCATCATCATTGAAATAACAATCAACTAAAACAATTTTTTTCATCATACACTAACCTATTCCATTATAATCCTTGTCATTTTTCTTCATTTCCCTTTACACTAGAAGATGCATAAAGCCAGGGATCACAGATAACCATTTAAAGTGGGGTGGGTGGGGGAGCCTCTTTGGTTTCAAAATATGTAATCTAGTATATATAACACTAAAAATTGGGGGTTGCTGATATGTACAAACATTTAGGTGACTTTAATCCTTCCTCTCTGCATTTCCTGAAAGTGACATACGATTATTGCATTTAAGGGACATAGAAATTGGGAATGGACCTTTCATTCATTTTTCCTCATTCTCATAATCTTATTTTCATTTCAGATGCAAGTCATGATAAGTTGAGTGAAATGGTAGGACAATTGGGTGAAGCCATGACAGGAGTTAAACATGAACAGGAATACATGGAAGTAAGAGAAAGGATTCACCGATCAAGTAAGTTGTGAAATCAGAGCCCTTTTAATGTTTCTGCATTATTGACAACTGCAAAAAATCTGGATTTCGGCTTCCACTACAAAAAATTCACTACATGTACCTTGGACTTCTTATAAATTCGAGGGATGAAAGCCAAAACATGAAAATACAAAGTATGAGTCACATATGGAGTTGTCTGGATGACCAATCTATTGTTTTTTAATCCAATCATGTAACCCCGGGGGGGGGGGGGTACTCCCATATATGGACTATACGGGGATGATCCGCTGAACAGGGTATGGTTTTTCAAGCTTCTTATCAAAAACAGGGTACCCCTTTCAGAATCCCAGCGGAACACCCATACCCAAATTCTGGTGGAGTACCCCCTGGCTCAAACAGTGGGATGATAACAGACTGTTTGACTTGTGAAAGTAAGAGACAGACAGTGAAAGTAAACTGGGAAAACCTTTGAAATTAGAAGTTATACAATCTCTGATTGTAAATGACTTATCACWTTTTTTTTCTTTACATAGTTAACGACAACACCAACAGCCGTGTAGTATGGTGGTCGTTCTTTGAATCCCTCGTTCTTGTAGCAATGACCCTTGGACAAGTCTACTATCTCAAAAGATTTTTCGAAGTACGAAGAGTGGTCTAAATTGGAGAAAATACTCTTTCATAGCCAATAAGAAATATAGTCCAAGATCTCATCCTTAGAGACCCAGTCACCCTAGATCTCTGAGAATGAAATGTCTGATTTGGTGATATCATCATCGTCGTCGTCATCATCATCATAAAAACTTGTTGGCATTAGTCATCATCAAGACTGGCGTCAACTGAAAGCTTTTCAAAGTCTTGCAGTATTCCCTACATGAAATCAATGACTAACCTTCGCCTATTTAGCTTTTTCTCAAATGGTTTTAAATTTATTTAGTATTGTCTTTGAAATGTAACAAGCTTGATGTTGTGTTACATTCCATACCTCCAGAAATATTTCTTATTACATATACTTTCTAAGGCCCTGTCCACACTATGCCGGATAAATTTGAATCCGAATTTTTACTTATTCGGTTAGGCCTACTGTCCACACTAGTCAGGGCGAATCAGGAACACATGCTGACATGAAGCGTGATGTGCAATACAGTGTTCTTGCTGCCTCTGATTGGACTAGTGTGGATGCAAAACATTTGATCTGTTTTCAAGTGTGGATGGAAAACTTTTTTTTTAGTTTCGGTGTGAAAGTTGTGGAAACAAAATTTATCCGGCATAGTGTGGACGGGGCCTAAGATTTCTCTTGTTTTCTATATTCCAAAATCTGTGACTCTGGTAATATTTATACACTGTATAATGAACATGTGGTAATATTCATTGTCTATGATTGGTCTGTATGGTATCAATAGTCTCAAATTCAAAACATCTTTTTCTTTATTTTAAATTTTTCTTTACAGTGCAACTACTCAACCTAAGGCCACCCAAACAAATTTATTTAGTGCCATGGTCCAAGTAGTCGTACTGTAATACTTTTAAGTATAAAAAGCTATGCAACCAGGGCTTGAAATAACGACCAGACATCCCGCCAGAACTGGGACTTGTCCGGTCAAATCTTCACCTTGCTGGTCATTTTGACCTGTAACGTTTAGCCAGAAATGAGGTAGAACTAAGCTAATTTCACCTGTGATCATGACTGGCGACTGATAGACCATTATTTTAATATCTGTGCAACCAACTTAAGAACTGAATATTGATTTCAAACTTGGGTATAACATTAAACAAACATCTAGGGTGTAGAAAACTGTTATGGACTGCATTAGTATAAAGACTGTATAAAAATAATAAATGTATGTTGAAAATAAGAGGAAAACAATATTCAACTTTACAAGAGTCTTGAAACACCAGTAAGGCTGAGTATCGTTATCCTTTTGAGTAAAAATTGACTTTATCGTGACATAAAAGAAGATTATGTCCAAGCAACTCTAGAACGTTTATCTTGCTATTGACTTCTAGGAAAGATTTGGTGAAAACCGTGTGAAATATCTTATCGATACTTCATTTTCTGGTATTACGGATTGGGCAATTGTTGTATCTGCTTTAGTTTTAAAGTATTGACGTTAGTACATGCTTTATTTAATTTGGATCTGACATTTCTATGTTTCAGATACGTAAATTCTTTAACAAATTTTATTAAATATGACTGACAAACTGAGACTTTAGCCATGCTTCTTTTTCTATAGTCCTTTTACGAAACGTTTGATAAAATAGCTATGCGCATTGTGGTTTGGCTTCGTTATTTCAGGACACAATATAAGGCATGGTGAGAAAGACACCATATAAGGCATGGTGAGAAAAGGATGTTTGAACCAAGGCAAGACAACAATGCGTCATGTAATGATAAAAGGGTCCTCCGAAACGTCAGTAAGTTTTCTCATCTTTTCACGGTGTAAAATTTACCCTTTTATCATTACTGTTTCATTAGGAACGCCGACGCAGCCCACACTAGTTTTTAGCTAGTTATCACTTCTAATGCACCATGTACTTTATCTTAACATGGGGCTGTTTGTTYTAGAGAATACCTTTAATACTTGTATAGCATCCTTTTTACTTGCTAATAGTGAAAAGTGATCAAATTTCTTTTGTTTCTTAAAATGTCAACTGACTGATGACACGACGTTCCTCAAATTGCAAAACAGCCCCATTAGCAACGCATTTGTACACCTTCGGATTACGATCAATTAGGATCGATGTTGAAATTTTTTCTTTAGCTTTATTCAAATAAAGCTGCAAGTTGTCGGATTATAAGTCAGCCCTTTTCCAGGAAAGAGGACAAAATTAGTCCCCGACTATGAGGTCCTCAATGAGAACATGAACGAAAATCGATGCACACGGAATGGCCTCATTGTTCATATCCATGAGTGGAACATGCCGATATCCTTGTTGCATGCTCTCAAAAGGCAGCGTCGCTTGTCCAATGAAATCATCTATTCCAATATCCTTGTCCCAAACAGAAAACCTCACCATTGCTAGCTCAGGCACCAGGACCTTGATTTCAAAGCGCTCATTCCATATTGGGTTGAAACTATTGTCCATTTTGAAGGAGGTAGTGATGACGGTTTCGTCAGCTGGAACTCCACRTACTTGTACCTGAACATAAGGATCCGGTTCATCTTTAGTGAAGGACCACATGTCTACCTGGGCGGGAAGTTGTTGCCCACTCAAGACTGTCAGTTTTAACGTTTTGCTGCTTTTGTTTGGTCTTACGTCGAGTGGGTTGAACTTGAATGATGGGTCTCTGAGGAAGACGGGCTTGAGAATGTACCCTGCTCTGCCATTTTGACGAAATTTCCCATAATACAAATGCATTGGCTCGTCGTTGGTTTGGTGATTGAGCGCCACAATCTGACATCCAACATTCCAGGCCTTCTGCGGGTCGTAATTACTGGAGTCGATTCTCAACCGACCCGGGTAAATACGACTTATCTGCCTAATGTTGTAACCAATGAGGGCTTCGGCATTGTTTTGCACGTGATATTCCATATCCTTCTCACCAAACGATGACGACTGGTAAAACTTCCCATTCATAGCACATTCTGCATAACTTATAAACTTGCTATTTGAAATATAGTTAATGAAGTCTTCCAATTCCTTCGYGACCTTCCTTTTGGCTCTACTGGACCTCCGCCTTGTTGATGGACTTGCCACTGGAGATGGAATTACAGCTGGCGGCGCACAGGCAGTAGACGACGGATTCGCGTCATTTTCCGGCAATGTGGTCACCTTGATTGATGGATTTGAGTTCTCTTTCATTTTCGCTGCATCTTCAACCATGGTCTCATCACCCGTTTCCTGTTTATCAAGGTCTTCCTCGTCGTCGTCTTCGATGCTATCCACCTTCCCACGAATTAAAATCTTGTATTTGAAAAATTCCGGTGATGGAAAGCTTTTTAAATTCAGATCGACTGGAATCTTGTAGACTTTTTCGCCCAATATCTCTTCGAGGTATTTTGCCATTTTTTTCTGGGCCTCGATGCTACAGTGATTTTCAAGTGACATGATAACTGGATATGGTGACGTTTTGAAAGCACTCTCACCAATGGCTTTCACAATGTCTTTGAAAAACACTTTACTTGTAAGCGTGTGGCCATGGTATACTATTGGTTCTCCATCGGTTCCATCCCAACAGTCTAATTCCACACATCTACAGCCCTTCTCAATCACTTTTTTGTACGCTTTTGCACTAGACTCCCCTCTTAGCTGTTGTCCACAAAGATATGTGTTGTGTGACGAAGCGATGTAGTAGTGTGGTAAGGGCTGACTCATATCTTGGTAAATCTGATCATGAGCTTTATTAAATAATTCTCCGTCTCTGGAAAGTAGAAAGCGTGTAAACCCTTCAACCTGCATTTCTAGTTTCTCTCTCCCGGTCTTCGTGGTTTCGAACGCACGAATAATTTCCTCGCAACGCTCGAGCGTGACATGTCCCTTGAACTGCTCTTTTGTCAGGAAGTACTTGAGATCAAATGGCGTGACGAGGACTCCGTTGGAAGCTGTCCTCCTAAATACGTTGACTACTTCTTCTCTCTCAAAAGTGTATTTGTAAAATTCCTCAAAATGCTCTCTAGTAGAAAAGAAACCGTTGGGTTTATATTTCAACTTCTTCTTTTTCAAAAATTCTTTCAGTTTCTGAGTGTAAAACTCTTCTGTTATCATCATCCGATCTGAGTTGAGAACTTTTTCGAGGACATCAGTGAACTTGAGAATATGGTCTGCAGACGATGAAAACTTCTGAAACACTTCTCTGAACCACTCTCTTTCTCTTTCTTTGTACAAATGGCATAATYTTTGGTTATCTACCAAGCGTTGTAGACCTAAAATCCAATATTTTGCAACCGCCTCGGTCGGCGCCACGAAGACAAACGTTTCTCTCTGAACAACAAGAGAGAAAGACCGTGATTTCTTATCATCTGGCAAGATATCTGGAAGATTTTTTCCGCTCAACACGCAGGAAATTGAAGATATGTCAATTGTTTTTCCTTTTTGGTTCTTTGGATGGTATGAATAAGTAATGCTCTGCATATCTTCTGCCAAAACCAGCAATACCTCTACTAAATCTTTGCTTTGTTTACCACTATCAGTCTCTACAAGTGACCCTGCATTGATGACCAACTTCTGCATTTCCTGTGATTTTTCGAGCATCGTTTTCCAACATGGTTGAACAAATACGCTAGACTCCATTCTGATCAGTTGGTTCTTCAACGTTGAAGCTTTCGCCTCAGTTCAAACATAAAACTAAAACGGACGTGTAGCTTTATAGCTTGTGTCGTGATGAAGTCACAAACGTGTCACCAGTCTCTGGGGAACGTGACAGTTTGAACGTACCTCTATTGTTTAAACGCAAAGGATCATGGTTGTCGGAGGGGGTCAAATCAACGCAAATTCACCGAAAATTGTTTTAGAACCCGTATCAACCAGTATCAGAGAAGTAGAATAGCCAGCAAACGCTCAGAATATTTTTTAGTACATATTAACACATATCATATCTGAAAACCAGGCCATTTAAATCTTGTTATTCAGAAAGTTTAACTTGTTTGGAAGTGGAGATGACCGATGAAAGTGGAATCAAAGCGTTAACCCAAAGCAAAATTAAAATTTTATTCGAAAATAAGGTTTAGGCCTTCAATTGCTTATTTCCCATATGTTTTCTATAAAAAAAGCCTGACAAAGCAACATTCTAAACACAAATGCAACAAAACATCTTTTTACAATTGACAATACCGCTTCTAACAGGCATTTTATCATAGTACATCAGTTCCTAAATGTTTAAAAAAGGTTTTGAGTGTTAACCCAAAAGGAAAATAAAACTCATACGAAAGTCTAGTTTTTTTGCGCTTTTTGCCATTATTGCTCATTATTGGAAAAAACTTCCTCTTAAACTGTTTCGCTAGGAGCAAATATTATTGAATTTTCTATTGGATTGGGCGATTCTATCCCCCACATGCACATCAACAAGCAGTGACGTCATAGTGAAATAGGGCAATTGTTCTGTCGTGAGAGGGGAGGTAACAAATACCAATACAACTTCATAAGTGCATCATTTTTTTTTTTTTTTCCCCAGTCGTTTATGAAAAGCCGCCGTTATATTAACTGACTAGAATTTAAAGTGACAGGATATTACTCAACTCAAAGCCGAAAGTTCATTCAATATGCCGAGGGGGGTGGGGTGGGGGATAACAATTTCTTCCGCAAAACCCTTATTTTTTTCAGGCTTCCCTTTAGAACTTAACTCAATTTTCGAAGTCCCCCCCCCTCCCCCTCCAAAAAAAAACTATGAAATTTTCAAATTCGAATTGAGATCCTCTCGGCTTGTACGAATGACAATTTTTTATAGCCCCCCCCCCCCCCCCCCCCCCCCCCCCCCCCCCTTCGCCTTTCATGACAAGACAAGACAAGACAACGTATTTTACTGGCTCCGTATAAACATATTTACATTGGATTGCTGCCAATAAAAATATAGAATAATTCAATAAACTAATATATATTGACTTCTTGTTTATAATAATATCAGCGATCACCGCCAATCGATCTATATATATGTATTTTCCTTTTTTCACCAAAATATTAATAAGTTAAATTATTTGTGAAAGGTTTTATTGCTTTAGATTAACCCTCTTTTTAACACAGTCATGTATATATTTAGCAACTATTTTTTGGATTGGTTTGTTGGGGTTTATGATAACATTGAATTTCTCTTCTTCGCTTAACCATTCTACTTTAAAGTTTGCTGCCTCCTTTATCTTATTCAGAAGATTTTTCCTTTCTACAATATAATTTGAACACGTTAGAAGGAAGCGTGCCTCATCTTCTACACCAACCTTACATACAGGACATAGCCTTTCTTTGGGTTTGGTGTATGGTCGAGTGTATCTGCCCACTTCAATCTGAAGACAGTGATCGCTGATTCTGAGTTTTGTAAGACTTATTCTATGTTTGATGTTGCTAACTTCTCAAAGGTATTCTTCTTGCTTATAGACTGTTTTAAACCTTCTATACGTTCTCAATTTATTTTTTTGTGAATGGCTTTTCGTCCTTCGTCGTTATATAAGTCGCCAAGCCAAATTTGCATGGAAATTCCTGATCTTCGATTCTTCGTTTAATGAGTTTTGTTACAGATATCCACCGATCTTCTGTCTTTTTCATAACAATCATGCTGCCTTAAATATCCAAGGCCTAATCTATCAAAAATGGATTTCATTTTTTTCAGTCCACATTGATTTGTTAGAACTATCAGTGAGGCAGTCATTTATTACTTGATATGACAGCTTTGTAATTTCGCTATCACAATTCATAAATTTTCTCCAGAAATTAAATTAATTGCCCTTGATTTAGCATTTACTCTCAATGGGAAGAGCCCCAATTCTGACCGGCATGCATTATTAGAGGCCTTTTTACTAAAAAATAATACTTGAACTGATTCTAGTGGATCGTATTTAAGGNTTTTTTTCATCTCAACTTCCCACACCTCACTACCATATAACAATATTGACTTAACATGTCTCAAAACATTTCAGTAGCCCCCACATATCTTCATCCCCCCTCCCCTCTCGGCATATTAAATGAACTTTCCCTAAATGCAAATGAAGAGACTCAAAGAGCATTATTCTAAGTGATCATTCTAAAGAGAACCTAGATATTGAAGTATTGACTTGTTACTGAATACAAAGCACAAAAACATGATGGCTTTAATTATTGCTTGGCAACAGTAGATGACAATGACAGCCGTTACCATTACTGGACGCTTGTTTCCTGCTTCATTTAAATAAATTCTAGGAATCAATTGTTACGAGGAATTCGAAGAGAATTTATAATCTTGAAATTCAAAAAGTATGAAACCATGCCAAAAGTAACCCAATCGTATCTTTGCGTGAAAATATTTTCTTTTGAGCATTTCCTTAGTACTTACTTTAATCCGTTTTAACTGAGAAGCAGAATTAACTAAATTAATACCCTAATCTTTATAATTTAAAATAATACATTTTCCCAAAAAAAACGGCTTTTCCTAGTATTTACTTGACGGAAGCACAATTTCTGATTTTGAATTAGATCAAAATATAACAAAATCTACAATCAGCAAAGTAAATTGTTTGAAAAAGAATTACGACCCCCGTTGTTCGTTGTTCAAACAGACTCACTTCATAGCGCATATCTAGTATTTCGATTCCTTTTTCATGGCCTCCATCAAATATCAAGCCACCTCGGCTATTTAAACCAATAAACATGCTGTTATGTTGACAAATATGAAGTTTTATATTGAATTTAGGTAACTAAAAACAAGAGAAAGTATAGTATTCAATACTGGAGCAGAAATTTAAAGCGCGCGAAGCGGGCGCGGATGCGAATGATTGGACGCACAAAAACAAACCAAACAAAAGCCAGCTTTGTTGTGTGGTAAACGAATCCTTTTAAATGGGTTTATCGTCAGTTCTTTGTTTGACTGTGAGTGCAGTGCATGGATCCCAGGATTAAAACGCTTAAAAAGTTAAAGGGAAATTGCATTATCTTGATCTTCGTCACATTTGGAGAAGAACAATAGCAAATAACGGAATAGCGAACAAAACCCGACACCAAAATTATAAGCGATCTTAAGAATATTGGAACTTCTTTGAAAAGTGAGTTAGCTAAAGAATCAATTAAGCTTTTAAAATATTTTGTGCCAATGTGCTTATGTAAATGGTCAAAAAGCTTAAATTTATCAATAATAAGCTTGCGGTGAAGAGAAATCCATAAGATCCGAGATTAGTTCGGTAATTTCCAAAGGATTGATTTATAGTTTTGCTCTATAATTGTCGCAAAAAGAGTGCTTCGAATTTACTTCATATTCGCAACCTTCAATTTCACTTTCAGCCATCCCTGTTGGTGCTTTGAAATGCTCTTAACTCGAGCTCAGCCCGTGGAATAAGGACATCGCCAGTCAATCGAAGGTAAATTTTTTTTTTTTTTTTTTACCCTTTTTCTACAGTATATTATTTCATTAAGAGCACTTAGCGAAACGGAAGATTTGAAAATTCGAGCGAGGACTATACTAGTGATCGACCAAYATATATATATAGCATCTTTACTCTCTCTGACAACATGTTGCCTTCTTGTAAATGTTTTTTTCCCTTAATTTTTTACTTCAACATTACAAACAAAAACAAAAACAAAGAAAACTGGAGAGTAGAGTCTCTGTGAACCAATGTTCTACTCTAGTCAATTGAAACCCAGAAAATGTAACGTGCATTTAACATGAACAGCGAGAATGCAAGGGTCAGTATATGAGGAATCTTAATAGCGCGTACTTCAACAGTTTCAAATAATCTTTCCCCGGGGTCCGGACCGGAGGAGGGGGAGGGAGTGCTAGTTTAAGTAAGGGCACATTAATGTTAAATTCCCATTGGGGTCTGGGGTGGGGGTCGAACAGAAAAAATAGATAAAACATCCAAGGGCCGTTTGAACGTCTTGAATTATGATGACTAGTAATCTGGCATGAAAATAAATTTCATTCTAGTCTACATTTTATTGATACTGGTTCTTGTACAAGCTGCTAGGCTTAGTTTACTGAAGGATACTTGCGAAATACAGACTTATAGCACTGAGCCAGGTCATACTAACGATAGGCTTGTGATTTGTCTAGAATGAGAATGATTGTCGAGTCATGAATTATGTACGTCAAGAATGTTGAACTAGCTTGTTAGCTTTTTGAGTTCAATAGTGTTCATGAATAAACATTTTTCCTTATGTATTTCCCTGTTCTAATTCCTTTTCGTTTTGTTATTTCCTTTATTCTCTTTCTTAATCGTTTCCTCTTCTATTCTCTCTTTTTTCCTTTTGCGGATCTATTCTCTACTATTCTCCTGTTTCTTTTCCTTTCTATTTTTTTCTTTTTTCTTTTTTCTTACATCTATTCTTTATTTTTCTCTGTTTTTCTTCTTCTTCTTCTTCTTCTTCTTCTTTCTCTCTCTCACTCTTTTCTCTCTTATTATTTTCCTCCTTTAGCATTTTTAGAGGGATGACGAATGAAATGTGATCCACAAAGGCAAGTTAAGTTAATATAGAGCGGAATTAACTATGCCTTAATGCATGAGTCCAAACATTCTATAGCTAGCAGTCTCTATGCCATTATAAATCTTGAAGCTTTTTTATAATAATCAAAAACAATCAGTATGTTGATGGTGCATTATGATGGTGATGTAATAATGACTGATAATGATGCTGCAAATCATAATGATAATAATGGGGCCGGATATATACAAGCTTTTCCCAATCTTTGCTTGCTAAGTACTTTCCTATCTACAACCTCGGAA